ATATATGTATAACATAGTCAAAAGAAACATACAAATTCTTTTAATATATGAAATATAATGTAATATAAACATTGATTAAAAGTTGGGTCAAACAATATATAGTTAGTGTTTTACGTGATACATACTTAATAGCAACCTTTTGGCCTTGTGCCTGTAATACAATTTTCCAATTAGCGCAGGGCATAGAGGACCACTAACGTAACAAAATAATAATTCTCTAAAAATCAGAGTATATCAGTGCAAAAATAATTGTAATCTGTTTTTCCACCATATGTTATTATTATACTACGTACAGAAGATATGGCGTATTTTACTTTGACGTATTTTAAATCAATGAACAACTTAATTTATATATAATGAATTACAAGACAGGAATAGATATACTGTAAGAATAACAAACAAGCAGTTTGAATTAAAATTATAAAGTTATACCAATGGCTACACTTATAAGGTTTAACAGGATTAATTACTGGACCGAAAAATCATTTAATATATATAATTGTGTACTCATTAATAGTGATAAGAAGTCATAAATTTAAGCATCCCTTAATTCTCCCAAACATGTAATTTACAGCTACAAATGAATATATAATTCAGTAAGACTTTAACACATTAAAATACCTCCACCAGAAAGTGACCTGTGGTAGAACGTGAAATATTATCTCACCCTCGCATTCTGTTACTATGCGGTCGCGTTTGTCTGACTGAAATTAACTAGCATTACCGTTGATTGTCAATTTTAAACTACAATATTAATTATTAAACTCATCAATATTATTTGAACATTTTATTTTGTATCATTATGTCACGTTGATTCATTGTTATTAATTTTGTTTGTCGGTCACTTCGATTTAAATATGTATAAAATGGATGAAACTAAAAAATATTTGCACATGCAATGTTTTTTGGAAACATCAGAATTCGTCCTAAATTGGCACGTTGTTGAACAGTCGGGACTTTTTGACAATAGGTACAATATATTTCAAAGGTACACGAAAATTTTACATGCCACGCATAGAATGTCAATGTTTTATAAAGCCTTGTTAGAACCATAATAGCGATAGCTAAAAAGTGTTTTTAGTATTAGAATTTAAGAACAATATTAACCGTTTTTTGTTTATTACGTAACATTCTTCTTGATAAGATACAAAAAGTATGTAGGCCTATGCTTTTCAATGAAGAACATAATTTTGTAATCTTTAATTCTATACGTTGAGAAATATTTTGAGGATTTTTTGGTATATTGAATTGATATGTAAATTCTTAATTCAGAGATGCCTACGAGAAAAAAATTTAACCGTAGTTTCTAATTTCAAGTAAATTAGAAACACATATATACACTCAGTTATTTTTTTAAAGTAGCTATCAGCCAGAATTAATAATCCTTAAAGATTTGCGACAAAAACTATTATAAAGATATGACAAAAAAAGACTATTCCTTTCTAAAATAGATACTAATAAATAAAAGATTTAAGGTCAAATTGTTATGTTGGTTATAATAATTTATAAGATACTGGCTTTCCGCCCGCAGCTTCGCCCACGTGGAGTTCGGTTATATCGCGTTTCCAAGAGAACCTTTCAAAAGTCTGGGATAAAACTATCCTATGTTCTTTCTCAAAGTCAACTCTATGTCTGTATCAAATTTCATTAAAATCAGTTCAGTGTTTTAGACTTGAAAGCGTAACAGACAGACAGACAGACAGACAGAGTTACTTTACATCGTTAAATTCATCTCGATAGCTAAAAGATCACTCAGTACATTGAAGTTAAAGCTACTAAAACTAATTTAAGTACGATAAAGTAAAACTAATCAATGATTCGTCTTTAAAATAACTCAGTTATAAAAATATACATGTTACGTATGTTAAGAATTTTTAGTTAGAAAACAAAAATTGTATGAAATCTTTATGTTAAACTGTAATTCTGTGCTATAAAATGCTTATAAAGGAAGACGTGTAAACAAATAAAATAAGAAAAAACCGGTCTGCATAATAAGTCAAGTTGAAAGATAGAAATAAGATTAAATGGAAATTGCAGTCGGAGGCTATGTAAAGTTGCAAAACGTAAGGTTCCTTCCTTTTTCCGGATTTTTTTTCTTCTTAAACTCACAAAATTACTTATAAATGAAATAGCATATTTAATTTAATACTCAGTCTGCTAATAAATTAAACTGAAACAGGTTTATAATTAATTTTTTGTCTTAAATAATAATAACTGTAATATATTATGTAAGGAAATCTTAAAAGGTACTAAAATCTAAGACATTCGCGGCTATTCATTTAAATGAAAGTATAATAGTTATCGTATTTTATAAATACGGTTAATATAATCCGAAAAATATTAGTTTTATCTAAAAAGGTACCGTCTGCTTCTCGATTCTAAGCCAATGAATAAATGAAGTGACTAGTCTTAATGGATTATATGGTAGTTAAGAACTGAGACCATTTTCCTTTAGGATTGAAGTTTCGGCAAATGGTAGTCTAAGAGAGTTCAGTTACAAAGCAAGTTCTGCAAAGCGGTTTCCTTTATACACGTCTCAGTAAATTTTAGAATTTCAAAGACGCAGGTTGCGTTCGAATAATTTTCCAAAGTATCACATTATGGGATTTTAAAATTATTTTATAATTATTCAATGATTTTTTTCTTTTTCTTTAAAAAGGGATTCATTAAGCAAAAAGTGTTTTAACATAGTATTGATTATAATGGAAAGATATTTTAGTAATTAATCGATGTTTTTAATATGGGCATCACTATTTTTCGAAATAGGATTTGTCTAGAACGTAAACAGTTCCATCGAAGTCATTAAAAGTCTGTAAGATTCGCAAAATCATACGATCCAGGAACTTTAAAACTATCCTTTATATGCAGGCGATAGAAAATTCTAAAGTTCAAGTTAGTTTTGAGTTTATATTGTTTCAACTTGGGGCCTTTGGTATCCATTCTCTCAATCTGCAACATTTCAGATCACGTACTGGTACGTGTCCTCCATCGTTTCCCGTTTTGGCCCATTCTCCCCATTTCCGTAGACCGAAGTGCAATTAGGAACTTATCAGCAAAGATACTTGTACGGAACTCGTTTTGAAAAGCAGGAAACGTCGGAAGCACTGCTGACGGTTATGTGGAACCCTCAGCAACTTCGCAACTTTGTTATAATATGTTACCATCCCACTCTAGTGACATACCATCCAACGTACACGATAACATGTGATAATTGATATTCATATATAAAATTAAACGTTTAAAAAAGTAATCTAGTTAAAATTCATGCTTTTAATATTTAAATACGTCTTTGTTAAAATGCCTCAACTATTTATTTTAAATACATAGTTTTTTAACCATCGCGTAACACATCAGAATGCTATTTTTAATGAAACAACATCCCAGCTCGTTGGATGCTGCAGCGAGAAGATAATGTTTTATAAATTTTGTAACTATTATAAAGCCCGTTGTAAAACGTCTTCATTAAAGCTCACAGCTTTATTAAAAACTTAATAAAGCTGCGATCGCTAAATACTATACGGTTTGATTAAACTTTTAAGTACCAACAGTAATTAATAAAGTGCAGTTTATCATGGGATATAGTTATTTAATTAAAACTTAAAGATTAAAAAAACAATTACAAATACATGTATTCTATTATAAACGTTTTATTTATTTTCCACTTATGATTATTACAGCTTAATTAATAGGAATGTTCACAACATTGCTTGAGAAATTCATTGGCTATAACATAATAGGCTTCTAGAAATATAACATTTAAAATAATGCAACTTAATAACAACATAATAAAACAGCTAAACATTTAAGCTCGTGTACGTAATATTTATTTGATTTGATATAATATTATTCCCGTTTTGTAATGCTAACATCAAGTTATTACGAATTCCTAATTAATTTCGACTTTAACTATTTGTATTAACAACTTAAACAACATTATCAAAGTAACAGAATACAAAAGACTTAATAAGCATAACTAGATAACGATGGCTTGTATTTTATTATATATTATATACAAATGGTATTATAAAATATGTAAAAAGTATAAAATTCCGGTAAATTTAGATACGGAGGACGCTAAGTATGAGTTTTTAAGTTCACAATAACTTCTAAAGTATCCGACTTCGTTCTCTTATAAGAGTTCATAAAACTTACGTAACCCACTTAGAATGAAAGGCAATAAAATCTTCATATATATATATATATATATATATTGCCTATTCCTCTTTTCACTTTATGTGATTTACCAGTACCCTAAGTACGATTCTTTGTCAACAACCTAAAACCAAACATTTCAATTGTATCTCGGTTAATTTATGAACCTATTACACTGAAACTGTTAGTTTTTAAGTAAAAGACCGAATCTCGTACTAAAGATAAATTTAAAGATTGTAGACGGACAGATAAAAGAACCTAGCGAATTCCCACCGGATCAGCGAATCAAGAAAATAAGGTTAATATATTTGTTATTGCGGACGAGACATAGTCATGGTCTGGTAACTTCAAATTACTTTATTTCCTACTTGGTATTACATTAAATAAAGTTTTACAAACATTCTACGTATAAGAGTAACTTTATATCCTTATATAATATCTTTTAAATGGTCAATTTTTTACTGTATATATATTTACGCATAAAAATGTCAAAACATTTCAAAATTAATACATTACATACATGTAAATGATTATAATCACTGCTAGGAACTGGTGTAAGGTACTCGATAAACCAGCAATACCTGTTGAAATATAATTGAAGAGTTAATATGATACAAAATAATAGATTTATTATTAAATTGTTTGGAATTTTTATTGTAATACTCGTTAAAACATTCTGTTTATTTCATGAAGTATTTTCCTTTAAAGTTTTATTCGAAGTCGTAAAACTATCCAAGGAACTTCCTTAACTGTGGTTGCTCAAGAAACTATCTTAAATATTAGAATTCGATACCAACTTTATAAAAGTAATGACTATATTTTATTAATAATTTATTTGTTATTATTATTTAAAAGGTTATTTTATATATATATGTTAGTATTGTGTGATATTGCATACCATTGGCTTGACGTTCTTGAGGCTTCTGAATTTCAAAGGCTGCTATGTAAGTTGTTGGCATCAGACCTAATAAAAACATAAAATATATCATATTACTTTACAGAAATTCTATAGAAAAAAATGATATTTTTTTTGTTTACTGTACCTGGATAGTAGGTAGTTGTTTTAGAGATGGTATAATTTGCTGACGGTATACTTAAGGTACACACGTATTCTTGGGAAGGTGTGATGACGTCATCATCATGGACTACTGTCTTCACGGTCACTGTGTATAGCCCCCATGAGTCCATTTTCATTTCCGACACAGATTGCTTTAAAGGTATCCTAAAATTCGGAAACAAAGATTCAACTTGAAGTTTATTTAATAAAAACGATCCCTGTAGAACAATATGAAACTTTCATTGTACAATGAAAAGAAATACTTATGCATAATATATTAAGAAATTACCAACAAAATACCAATATCCGTCTGTCTGAGACGAAATGAAATAAGAACGTTCTCAACCACTTCTTTAAACTAATTGAAAGATTTCAATCGCTTTTATCAATGTACATTTTTTCCGGGAATATTATTAAATAAAAAATTGAAATGGAACATGCAATTTAGTTTCGTATAAATTTCTATTAAACTCGCTAGAGTTTGTAGTTGAAATTTTAAACATTCTACTAAGATGCATGTTTAAAAACAACATACAATTCTCGCAACGGTATACAATGGAAATACAAAAAGAATTAATTTTTTTTATTCAGAACTAATCAAGTAATGTATATTAGGTATAATAGAAACATAGATATACCAGTTAATATAAATATAACGATAATGAAGGTCACGATATTGTTTTTGTTTGGTATTGGGGTCTAGTATAAACTCACCCTTGAGCTGTTATCACTACTTCTGGCTTTGGGTAAACATCTTCTATCGTGCATATCAAAGTTACCAGAAACACATACTTCTTCTCCTGAACAAAATTAAAATTTCTACCCGGACCTTGAAGAAATTATAAGTCATAGTTAAATCTATTTACATATAAAAATATCTTTCAATGTATCTCCAACAAAGAAAAAAAATATGTTCTATGTTAAGTAAAATTATAAAAAAAAATTCAAAAAAAAATTTGCATGACAAATTTAAACTCTCATAGACGAACACTGAACTTATATAGTGATAAATTATATTTTTTTTATAAAATAGATGTCCTAATAATAGAGTACAATTTAGGAATAATTACTATTTAAAGAGTCTTCGGTCACACGGGAAATATTAAAAACATTCAAAACGAAAATATGCACTCAATATATGATCAGTATGTCAGATAAATAAAAATATAATCTAATATAACTATATTTATATGAATATCTAAAATAAACGAACACATGAAATACGAAAGTCTATTTTTGGACGCCAAATACAATTTAATGATTATAATCTAAAAATAACAAATCAATTCTAATTCGACATCTGATCTGCTGTACACAATATATTCTGAAGATCTCTATTACCTGTTATCCCAAACACAAGATATAAGTAATATAAATATTTTTTGTAAAGGACTATTCATTGTTATTTAGACGGAAAGGTCAATGAGATTTCCTTTCGAACAATAATTAAAGTATTCAAAATAGTTTTATTACATACATATATACAAAAATATATTTTGAGATAAAAAATATTTGATTGGCCGTTCCGATCATACAAGTCAAGTTTTGTCATCAAGAATTTTGATATATTTATTAAATTATGAACGAGAAATAGAATTGAAATAAATATGATAGAAAGGTGAAATGCTTACTGTATACAAGCATGGGTCTTGTCTGACGGTCTTCTTCTATGAAGGTTGATACTACACAAGTGTAGTTCCCACTTAGATCGGTCGTGGGTTTCAGTATCTTGATAGCTCGGTACGCTTGTAAGGGCTCGTCTGAAATTGATTCTGAATGTGATCAATATTATATTTTGAGGTTTCAATATCAAATGTTCGAGGGCTTAAAATATAATTTGCGGGGAATTCAGCTATGCTCAAATGAGAACGGAATTGAGTACAAAATATTGCTGTTCTTAATTATTTCAAAGAAATAACCGGATCTGTGTAATGCTCGTTCTAGGGAAAACTTTTTATCTAACTTCTGTTTCGTATAAATTAAGGTTTTATTCCAATTTATTTACTCCTTAAGATAACTCTGTCTTTAGTCTTTGAATGGAAAATTCTGTGAAGTTCTCTAGTCTTAAGATGAAGTCATGAAAAGTTGATTACATTGAAGAAGAATTTTAACTGCAAAAATCATTTTCTTAATAAGTGGCTATTTTTTCTACATTCTTTAGTCTTCACTTTGTACTTTAAGCAGGGGTTAATGAAACTATGTTTATTTAGTTCATTGTTCCGTACACTCGTACACATTTATAATCAGCATGGTAATTGAGTTTAACATTTTAATTCTTAAAAAATGTAAATATGGAACAAACAATTGGTGTAAACGATGTTTGTTTTAGTTTACAATAGGAATGATGTTATATTATTTATGTCACTGTATTAATTTATTAAACATTCATACTTTAATATATTATGAACGCTCTAAATGTTATGCTTTGAACCAATCAATAAAGGTTTTAAAATAATTTTAATTACATCACACTATCTAATTTTGAGATACAAAGTAATTGAAAATACGCTTAAACATTTTATACCTTAGAAGCCACCGCTTAGTATAAATTACTCTGTGATAATAGCCGTAATTTTAATGCTTCAAAGAAGCTTAAAGACTAAAATGATATAATTAACTTTGCTGCTAGCGAAGGCGTCGAAATTTGCTTCGCTCCTGCATACGCTCACTTCAAAGAATAAATGGAAGGTTTAAAATCGACCAAAACCTACCTAGCTGGTATAATAGAAAATGAGAGTTTAACCTAGAATAGGCTTACTTAGTTTACCTACATAGGATTTAATTTAGAATCCATATGTATCTGGAGTAATAAAATAAAGATGTCACCTGCTTTTATTTCTTTGTTTTATATTATAGTTACTACTGCATATGGACTTGTGTAGATACAGCATTGAAGTGAATAGAAGAATGAAAATTTAATACCAACAGAAAACGTTCATTTCATTTCTTAATTTCAGAAAATAACTGATAATTTCTATACGGTTGAGGCATAAACCTGAGAACATCAAATTGTTAATTGTCTTAAGCTCTTAAATGAAAGTATAGGACCCTTGAAAAATCGTATCAAATTTAAGAAAGTAATGCCAAAACGGGAGACAATTGTCAGAAGAATATTTTGAAGAGTCGGATCACTAACTTAAAACATTCTGAAATTAATTAATCTATTATATGTTCTCGAGTATCAAACAAAATGAATAAACTTATCTTACATTATTATTTGCGTAGAGGAATAAAGTATGCTCTAATTAAAAAACCGCTCCCAGCATAAAAAAAACTTACATATTCTTAGACTAGACTAGAAAATATATGTAACGTTATTATGAATGAATAAAGTTAAATATACGTATAATGATAATTATGTGGGTGTGTGTTTGTTATTAGTAAATACAAAAACTACTTCATACGTTTTCATTAAGATTTTTAATAACATGTAATTATAAACTTGTTATCTGAGCTAGCCATAATGACTTAGTAGCCATACAAAGCCGCGGGATGCAGTTAGTATATGTATAAAGTAATGACCAGTTTTTCAACTGAGATTTTTATATATGTATATGATATGTGAATAGTGTTCTTGACATAATTGCTTATAATCTTGTGTTATTAATCTTAGAAACGCAAGAAATAATTCCTTCCCCTTATTCCCTATTTTAATATTCACATATTAGGTTGTGTACAAAAATGTGATTTCAATGAACGTTGAATATGAATAGAAATATTTTATGAGAGGATATTCCATTATCATAAATTATTTCAGCAGCAATAATAAACGGTTTAGTAATTATTAACGAAAACAAACAAACCAACGAGCTACTCACCGGATATTTTAAAATCTATATCGACTTTGCCTTTCAGCAGACCTATAACTTGGGGTTTGAGTGGTGGTATCCATTGGTACACAAGTCCTGAAGATCCATTGAAGAACCATTTCACCACGAGGCCGGGACTTGACACCGTGCTAGTGTAATCGCAATCCAGAATCACAGACTCCACACCTATTTCTACTATCGCTGGTACTGTTATTTTTTGGATATTCACAGCCACACATTCTGCAACAGACAAACCCTTAGTATAACACTAGTAACACAGTCTCAATATATTTAACGCATCCCACTCTAAGGAATTAAATTAACAAACTCATTGCGTCTCCACACAAGTGCAGATTTCTATTCTATTAGCTATCGCATTAATAAGTTTGATAAAATTTGTCAATTGAATGGAAAATTAATAACAGTTGTATCTTCACAAAAGGTTTTCCGTGTAAATTGAAATTGTGGCAATATTTTAAACACAGCCGCAATTTACGGTCCGTGTCACTGTAACGATGTAAAACATTTTTATAATATTTATTATTTCATTATTGAAATTGTAATATTTTTTTTAACTAATGACTGTCAACTTAAAGACAAAAAAAATGCTGTAGGCAAAACAAAAGTAAATTCTCCTGAAAAAACAAATGATAAAATGATGTTTTTAAAACATTAAGTTAAAAAAACCCAAGCGTGATATTTTAAAGGGCGTACCTTCATTTTGTTTATTCGAATTGCACAATCAAAAGAGGGTCCATACATAAATTATGATGAACTTATGATAAATACATTGTTTTGCTGAGATATATTCCAAACGGCCATGAATAATGCATCACAGCTACACAAAACAAGCACAAAGTAGCCTGCTTTTACGAAAATTGGAACCCATAGATTGTTATTATGGTGTACAAAATAATGGATGAGATGAACGCAAGTACCTTTAATGGAAGTATTATAATTTAATGATTTTAGCTAAACACGAGAGGACATAATGAAGATATATTTTATGTGGACGCACTGTGAAGCTCTTTTAAATTTTTATATGGTTAAATGAAATATATGAGTACATATTATGTCTAGTGTCATTGTATTAACATTTTGATTAGAAATTTAAAAAAAAAACTCTACATATATTGATCGATATAATATCTATAATATTTTGAAGTCATTTTAAATAATAATACATTCTACATACATATATGTATGTGAATATACATATACATTTAATGACAAGACCACAGTTACAAATTATTGAAAGAATCATTTTTTATGATAAACAAATTGGAGCTGAAAAATAAATTATATATAACGAAACAAAAATATAAACTAAGTAAAAATTACTACTTAAAAAATAAATATCATCCATTCCAAATGCTAAAACATTTTAATAAAATATAATCAAACAAATAATTGAACTTGTCAAAATTATGATTTCTGTAGACGCGATCTTAACTTCGGAATATTATCTTAAAATATAGAATATATAAACATACGCACGTGCACATATTATGAGGAGCACAATTTGCGTCGAGTAGTTCATAGTTTCGCGCTCGAAGCCCGTTCGTAGTTTGAGTATGATTTTTGGGATACTTCCAACCAACGTGGGTGAAACACGAGGACTAAAATATTTGTTGGGATTTCAATATATGCGCATGCGTGGCCAGCCTGTTGATTTACTTCTCGACTTTCACATTAGAAGTTAATCAAACTGTTTGTCATTTTAATTTACGGGAAGAGCTTTTAATGAATTGTTTCGGAGGTCAGTAAATCAAAGCCAGATTCAGAGGCTGGCTATGAGGAAAATTTCATGCTGCCATTGTTGAATAAAAGCGTCGTTATAATGTAAATGTTTTTGTGTTACTATTTATTTCGAAAAAGTATCTTTATCTCGGGAGATATTAATAAATTTTGTTGTTGTTTACAGATAGCTTTATGGAAGACAATTTTAATAATCACTAAGTATGTTTTTTGTACTTTAAAATTCACAAACTTATGATCTCTTACGACAAACACTCTTGTCACTTGAAACTAGTCTTGAACTAGTCTAGTTTCACTATCAACAAAACATTATTTGACAAACATAAGCAAAGCTTAGAAAACACTTTATCCATCGCTGGTACATAATATAATAATATTTTATTAAATATTCTGAGCCCAGTATCACGTTGTCGATAATGTGACACGTAATCTCACCTCTTGATAATAATGAACAAATTCTAAGAATATTATTCCAAGATAATATAATTTTGTACAACACGAACAATAATTTATTTTAGATCCTTACTCTGTTTATGTTTGATGTAAGATATTCTTCAAACTGTTAAAGCTGATCAAAATTTTCAGAGTTCTGTTGACTTAGGATAGCTTGAAATCTACAATAATTTTATTCTCTAGAATCTCAAGTTACTGTTTAAATAACATTAAATGCGATTGTACAAACAATAATTATTCATGTCGTGCAATGCTTATTCCTATAATCTAAATATGTTGAAGTAAATTATAAGCTGATAGTGTTCTGTCTTTTTAATATTTAAGGAGTTTGAGTAGCGGACTGTGGAACGGAAAGTGACCTGCGACCTGAGGTTACGACATCCAGGGTTGACTTAGAAAACCAATATAGTATTATCAGTTCGTACATAAAACCTTTTAATAATTTTTTCATATATTTTTGCTACCATCGAGATTACTATATCGATTTGGATGATTTTGTCTTGAAGTTCAGAAGATATCAAGTGAAAATAATATATAGGCGTTTTGTCTTAGATATCAACCAGCAACAAAAAATTTTTTTTAAATAATGTGCCATAGAAATTCACGTCTAAATGAAAATAATATTCAAATAAAAACATCATCTTCCTTTATAATAAATATATTAACATATTCAGTTACTGTTTCACTTGTAAGGTATTGGAAAACGGGATGTAGAACACAATATATATATAAATATATAGTACTGTTTGTTGATCGAGTAGACAATAGAATATTGTATTGTGTTTGTAGTCTCACAAAGGCTTCAATTCAACGTTTATTGCTACATTCCATCGACTTTCTAAATCTGTTATAATAATAAAAAACAATTTTCCCAAAAAAACATATTAGAAGTAACCGAAGAATACAAACTTTAAATATTTAACAAAATTGGTAAGTTTATTTGAAATCATGATATAATTCGTCATAGCATCTCAATACTGCCTCTTTTTATACCAATATCTAATCTTGATAATATTTGTTACTTTACGTATTTATTTAAAATACAACTAAAATTTCATTGGTCTTAAAGTTGATCTAAACACGTCTCTAGCACAATTTTAATATGACACGACAGCCATCCCTGCCGCATACTGAGAAGTTTACTTTTTAATAATAAAATGCAATACGAGTGGAAGTTCAATAAAACTTGAGCCAATTTAAATAAGTATTAGAATAACTGGTCAATAAGTTTACAAACGGAGCGTGGCTTTTAGTTTTTAATATATTTTAAATATGCTTTAGTGACTATAATTTTTCGACTGATAAACTAAAACATGAATATGTTTTATAAGTGTTAATATTCGATTGCAAGTCTTAATATGAAAAGTTATGAATCGTTATACTTTAGAATTAAAAAAAGATCCAGTTTAATAAAAGTATCAACAAAACTTGTTGTATAATGGGAACAAACAAAACAATTACAAAAATAATAATTTCTCTAATTATAGTTAACACTCAAGTTAGGTTAACCCATGCGGGTTTTTTTCGTGACTTTTCCGCTTATCTCAACATGGCCTAGAAGTATGTTAGCAATCCAAAATATACAACATATATCGTGCGACACGCTAACTCATTATGGCGACCATTTTCACTGCCCTCTTATTGAGTTGTTACATTTTAATATAACACATAAATGTAACAATATGAGTAAAAAAACATTATATTTATAGTAGAATAAAAATTGTGTCCCAAAAAAACAGAAATACAGATACAACCTACAAATAAACATCCGTTTGAAGGCTATCGATAAACTTTTACATGTAAATTGTAAGGGCTAGCTTCGTCGCTAACTTAAAGTATCATTTCTCCCCTTCTATTTGGATAAATTATTAAAATGACTACCCAAGGAAAACCCTATTCCATATGTAATTATATGGAAGCTAACAATAGACTTATTTCAATGCAAGGATAAATATTGATGTAGTACAATTGGGACGCTTGGTATAAGCAATTTTGTTCACATTCATTATACAGGTATTTTACTTTGAATACCTACTCAGCATAATTATTAGTTATATTTCACGTTAAAAAACTTTTCACATTCTAGAAATTTAATTAAAAATAACAAAAGAAATTCAAGTCAGGAGAGGTTTAGAATTAATCTAAACATATATCATGATGCTTTTAATTGAAAAAACTTTAAAGGGCACGGTAGCGAAAACCTTTGATGGAAAAAAGTTAATTACTTTCTTTGACCACCGCGTCAACTAACCGCTCTTGTAGAACCTATTTAAATCGCTTCTAATTTCCTTTAACTCTACGAATGAAAGGGGAAACGAAACAAGCTAGGCACATCTCACCGTCTACGCCGAAAAAGTTTTGAAGGCTTTAATTTAGCCAGTTGTTAATTCACGCGCAACCAATTCAAAGGCTGCGTCGGCCATTATTAAAAACGTAAATTGTCAAACAGATGTGGCGAACGACTTCGGTAACGCGTCGACTATTTTAAAGCATAATTAAAAAAATATATCAACCATATGCAGTATGTACAATATAATACAAGGTAAGTAGAAAAAAAATTGCAGTGCGGTAAAAAAAATATAGAATTTTAATAAAACTGATGATATGAGAGATTGAACAGAGGAGAAAATTTTCAGTTATTTTATTTAGGATGGGTTATATTTGACTTGTTACGTTCGCGACCACATCCATTACAAATTTATTTTCTTGTCATCAAGAAAATTACAAGCTGTATTTGGGTAACGGAACTATTATATAGGCCTAAAACGGTTGGGGCCAAAAACGGAAATACTTTTAAGGTTTTACTTTTAAGTAGCCATTGAAAATCCATTTGGCATCCGCACCAAGCTATTTGGCTCTAAGTGCTTTAATGATTTCAGCGAAATTCCTCAAGAAATTCCAAAGAATGATTAATTTGTCAAATTGTGACGAGTCATTCAGACAGAAATTGAGTAAATGGCTAAATAGAGTACAGAAGATATGGAATTAGATAAAATGTAAATGTATCCATGGATATCTATGAATAATGAATAAACCGATCTTTGTTCCCTTGGCAGAGCAAATTGACGTCTTGTATTTATTGAAATGAAGCGATTTCTCCAATATAAGGTTAATAACATTAAAGAAATTATAATATTTTGTAATGATTTAATAATAATATTATAAAATAAATTATTCCTTAAACAATAATGACTAACAACTCTGTAATCACAGCCCATCTCCCGCCATTCCGTAGGGAGATTCGGAATTTGTCATGAAGTAATAATTTCCCGCGCGTCTGAAATCAATTTAATTGACATGACTTTGAATAATAAATATTCATTCTTTATAAAATATTGCGATTCATTATTCATGCCCAAAAAAAAGAATAAAATTAAACAATGAATAGAGAGGAACTCACAGAAATAATTAGGAATGATATTTTTTTTATATGTATAATAATAACTCACGCTGTTATATTATGTATTCCAATAGCTAAAGTATAAGCATTCCTTTCATCCTTGGAATAGTTTTTCCATATCCTATAGTTCTTGGCGTGACAGCCAATAAGAGTGTCAGGATATTTAATAGCATTCACCAACAGTTCCCAGCTCCTGTTGTGATTACATAAATCTAAAAAAAAATAACCATAGTTGTTTTTAAATCGAAGACCCCTATACATTTAAATAGAGATTAAACACTCTGTCAAAGTATTAAGTGGTATTCTATGCAAATATTTAAAAGCTTTTATTTAACATTTTCATAAAGCATACTGGCATTTGGTAATCAAATTAATGAATCGAAATCAGTACAAAAATAGAATGTATAATTCTTTTACTGAATTCCATTTTATTAGTGTAATGATTTAAATAAAAATTCCACGATCCAATATTTAATGTGATGAATTTTTTTTAAATATTTACAATAATAATCATTAAAAAAAATTGCATATAAATTTATCTAAAAAAATCTATGTCTTCTTTTTTATATACCTATATTAAAAGACAATAGAGATACTTTTATTTTGATGTTATTTTTAAATTTAAACCAGAACTAAGAACTATTCGTGACAGTCAATATATGTATTTTAAAAAATTTCGTTTGCATACACTTCTGTCTATACACGTCAATTTCCAATGAATTGAATTTCATTCAACCTTTTCATTATTTTCTCACTGCATAAATTCTACATATATATAAAAACTTTTTCTAGATAAAACACAACTCTCTTTTAAAGCCTTTACCGGTACTCATAAAGCAATGCAAAAATTGCTTTATTAGCGACTCCAGCTAGGAAAAAAAGCCATAAAGAAGAGGATGACATTATAAATAATTTAATTATTTTTTATATACATTTATATATAGTTGAAAAATTCATTGTATGTATAATATATAATTTTGAGTCCAGAAAAAGTTTGCAAAGAGCACTCCGACTGCATTTTACATGCAAAAAATATTACAATGTTTTAATTTTTTAATCATTCTAACTTACCCTCTTTTGATAGAGCAGGTGCAGGTTTTCTTCCACATCCAGGTTGAATAATCGGCCATCCGGATTTGAAGTTTGGCCAAAAATCAACAGTCCCCGATGGCATACTAGTGCCATACTTATTTGGATCAGTATGGATGACATCAACAAACAGCGCTGATCCCTGGTATAATCTGGCAGCTTTATTTTCAAATCCGACTGCCGCTGGATCCAAACCCGTTATCCTTTAGAGGTTATTCAAAATTTATAACTCACAATATTAAACAACATTACGTACATACCCTATGTATGACATACAAAAGTTACAGTATACACTTCGATTTTACAATTGGTTGAATGCCACACTTGATATTCCAATGTTATCCAAGTCATGATTTTAAAGCAACATTAAAAATTTTAAAAGAAATAAAGCATCATGACATGAGTTACAATGGAAATAAAATATAAAAGATAAATATATCGACACGAGCAGAATTTCGAAACAGCGACCGCTATTGTAGTTTCAGTAGCTTTAAATTTTTACTGTAATTTAAGTTACCTCAAATTCAATAAAAGTATTATACATAATTATGAGAACTTATTTCTTTTAATTGATATATGATTTTGCTTATGACTTTTTATTACAAACTTTACCATGGCAATAGAACTCCTTTCGCGGCCAAATGGTTGCCAGCTATACCCAATATATGTGCACCTAAAGAATGACCGATCAGATGCGTTTTGTTGAGGTCCATCCCAGACTCCTTAAGATCTAAGAACGTTGACGCCAAACGGACTCCCAGCTGTAAGTAAAAGTAAATTTCAATTACTTAATATTTATTCAGGAAAAAATAAAATGAACACACAAGGTTTTGTATGTTTTTTTTTTTAGATTTTATTTATAATTTTACTTCGAGTATCTTTTTTTTCAATATATAAATAAATAAGCTTTATTATTTTTTTTATATTTAATATAGCAGGTGATCACATAACCGTAACTCTATCTTTTTATTATAAAGATATATATCAATCCGTCTCTTTTTAAAGCTTTAAAAATTGATCACCAGATGATCAGTATTTAATCATCACGCAATTTTCACGTAATCACCAAAAAGATAGACCCTGATTTAACTTATGTAGTTGCTTCAATTTTGTATAAAAACATTCGTAGCGACGTACTGAAAGCTTTCGGAAATTCATTTGTTTATGTTACTTAACATTAACGGCTGTAAAGTATACAACAACGTCCGCCATTCGACTGGCACATTGGCAACGTCAGAACGTTCTGTGTTCTTTAATTAAGCTTCGGTTTAACCGTATTGCTAGAACCTTTGTTAATTGTAAAGTCGTTGGGGGATTTTAACAGAAAAAAAATCACGTAAACCTATTGTGGGAAAACAGATGAAAAACGAAATAAATTATTGAAAATACTTACATAAATTTATATGCTTATACATATTATAATTCATTTATTTCAATAAACGCACAGTAATTAGGCGTAATGCTATGGAATTATCATATTAATTGTCATAAAGCCGATGTATACTTGCTTGTAGCAAATTCTTGTTCATACAAGCTTAGTGCAAGATTAGTGCAAGCTTACTATGTATTATTTCAACTAATTTCATGTGTTATGTAGTCAAATTTCAAACGAAATACTATTTAATAAAGTTCCCGCATTTTTTTTATTATATTAAAACATTTTACTGCATATTAATGAATCTTTTCAAGTGCTTCTTGCTCCAAGTTTAATTACAGGGTGACCACAAAAGAAGATGTAATCAAAGAAAATTAACTATACGTTTAAATGAAACCTACTTAGAAGGTTTTAAATGTCGTAATTGGATTTTAAAGAAGCTCTTGAAGAATTTTTTATATATATAATATTAACTTATTCAAAGATATTCTATTGGAGATAACATCACAAGATTGTTTCTTCCCTACGATTTGGAATAGTTATATTGATATAAATTAATACGATTATAGAGACAGATCGTAATGAAAATTAATTTGTGCAAACTAATCCACAAGTTCCCATACAAATCAATATATCGCTAACCTAATGAATACTACATTTTTATCACTCAAAGGTCAATAACCGTTCAAAGAAATGAAACGTCAGCTGAGATCGTTAATTGGATTTCACTTCGTATAAAGTATGGTTTATATTATTAAAAATAAATATTTTATGAAACTTGTCATAAAAAAGAAAGTTAAAGAAACAAAGTGTACCTCTCCTTTAAAACATAGTACGTAGCAAAGTAGTAGGTATAAATATATTGTGTAATGGTAGTTTCGTTTATTTTACTTACATATATTTTGACATACATACATATATACATAAAAGAGAATAGTATTAGGTGTTAACACTATATTACAATAACAAATTAAGTGAAAATATTACTAACCTGCCTGGCATTTGGAACCGCGAAATTAACATACGAACTGGCCAAACTTGGCAACGGCTTAGACGCCAAGTAGTCCCAATTGAGTAATACCACGTTGCTTTCTCCCTGTTCGATATACGTCTTTATTACAGCAGTGACAGCCGGTCCAGTTGGGATGCCTAAAATATGTATTATATAATTACAGTTATTAAAAAAAATCTATTAAATTCTACGAGTTTTTAAAACACAAGAATTGCATGCGCATAAATGTAACCTATATATGTATATGGTATCTCATAGTAAGTTCTCCTTAGCGAAAAATAAAATATTGCCAAAGAGTTTTCTCGTATGAGATATGACTTTTTATTGTCAAACAAATACAAATAAGTACTGTGATAGTATGCTCTGAGTTCTGATAAGACATTACTAGTCGACCTTCACATGTTATACATACAGTTTGTAAACAAATTACACAATTCTAAGAATTTAAATATTACCTGTAAATCCGTGACAGAAGATGACTGTTGTCCGCGTGGAATTGTACCATGAGGTGGAAAATATCTTACTCGCCTCATAAATAGGCCATTCTTCAAATTTTTCAAAGGAACTAAAAACAATTTTATTCGATTTTAATTATTTTGCATCATCTTAATTATTGAAATGATTTAAATCGTCGATATATGATTTAAAAAAAAACTTTCAAAACTTACTCAAAATAATATCGTAATTTCGCCTCCTTATTATTTCCGCTACAAATAGCTGTAAAAGAAATATATTTTTCATTTCGATACCTTTCGAAATATAATTATGAATGTCATCTTAAAATGACAGCAAAATTTCATCTTTGAAATTGAGTAGTTATGCCTATATCTTGAAGGTATACGGATGTTTATCAGGAAATCCTTTGAGCATAAAACAGGTTTACAAAAAAACTTCACAATATTGCAATGTTTATATTTAAAAGAAATTAAAAATAGAATTTATCTACAAAACATCTGTTTTGAGAAAAGTAATCAAAAATAGCTTTGATAATATAAAAACAACAAAATTTTGTGTCCCCTGACGTAGCTTGCTTCACACAAATAAAACAAACATTCGCAGAATGTGTTACAAAAAAAAAACTGCACATACATTCCACAACTCTCAGTTGGAATTGAAAGGTATACACAAAATAATGAAAAACGATTCTTCAAAAATATTTACATTTCAAACGATACGAAAACAAAATCTAAAAATGTCTATTTCGAATACAATTTCGTATTTGTTGATTTTATCTACCAACACGAATTTGGATGTATGATAACCTAGTTAACTGAAATGCGACAACGTTAAAAAAACCAGTGGCGATGTCGGCACAGTTCACAATTAGTACTAATTGAAACATCATTTGATTCCGTGCGCACAATTTAGATTATATTAGAAAATAAAACAGGAATATACATTGTTTTTGATATTACAAACATCTATTAGGATTTTTTTATGTGGTAAAACTGAATATTTTTTTGAAATAAAAATAAAATTTTGTATGTTTGTAGATAAATATTTTTTAAATGTGATATGATACGCTGACTTAATAATTTAATAATCTTTACATTTAATTCAAATACAAAAACAGAATCAATAAAACTCATCAAACAGTATCGAAAAGAGGTTCTGAATGATTGAAAACATATAGATGGCGACCTTTAGATAACAACAGCTGACAGCTTTTATATGTATATATATGTTTATATATACACGATATTTTTTCTCACGATACATATATTAAAATCTCGATTATTAAGTGGGAAGTCGTTACCACCACTCATATCTAATTAATGAAACAATTTATTTAAATAACTCACCAATAAATAAAAATAAAAAAAATCCGACAGCACTGGCGCTCATTTTGACTTTATTGTTACAAATCCTCCTTTTCCTTGGCGTTTTATGTTTATATAGAGGCTGGTATCTCGCGTCCTTACAGTGGAACCATGGTTAATATCTCCTTGACATTACTGTGCTGATTAACATACATTTATTTAGGATTATATAAACCCCTATCTAAATTAGAGTTCGTTTTTGATGTTGAACGTCGAATATTCATGACAATTCAGCCTGCTTACGTATTTACTTTACTCTTATCTGAACGTTCCAAAAAGAAATGCCAATGGAACCGTTTAATTGAAATTTTATTTTTTAATGAGCACTCTTATTAATGATAACTTTCTGATTTAAACAACTTTTTATTCACCGCTGCTCAACTGGACTTAATAGTTTATTTATTAATTTCACCGGATTCTCAAATCATTATTTATTATTAATCTTAAAATATTACCTACAATACATTTAAAAATATATTTAAGTATATTGATGAGTGCGAATGTACAAAGCCATGAATACCGAAGGGGTGGAAATAGTCCCGATTTTTTAATACATTTATAATCGTGTTCTGTTTTTAACGATTCAACAAAAAAAAATCACAATATAAAAACTAAGCACTTCAGTATATATTAATTTTAAACCTTATATAAATTTTGTTACGTAATATAATTTAACATGTAATCAGATTAAAGTGATGTTGTTTTTTTTAACTATTTTTTAAATATATATAAACCCTCCACTGCCTTGGACGAATGGCTGAATGCTACACGACAGACAGCGCTAAATATTTATAGCGTCGTTAAAGTCATACAAATAAGGCATTCCTCGAATTTTAAATTTGTTTATGATGTGAATTGAAAATTGTGATTATCGTGTTTTGATTTTAGTTTTACAATGTCGCACTAATATATATTAGATTATATTTTTTCTTGATATTTTCTTAAGGCTTTTAAAAAATGGAGTTTTTGGTTTTAATAGTATATCCTGATTATATGTACTCCTTACCAAAATTTAAAAAAAAGAACTATTTATTCGAACTGCGTAAATCTGCGTGGAAAATTTTATGGACATTTGAAAAAAATCTAGTCAGGTTTTATAGTAAAAGAACCGGTAAGTCGTTTTTTATTCATTCTTTATATAGTACAATAATAGTTATAAAAATAAGTACTTACGGATAAAGATTTAACATGTTTACAGTGCCTTCTTATGCTTTATTAGTTACTATGTAATAAATATTTTAAGGTTATTGTACAAGAAAGATGTGAGTTTGCGTCAGTAGTCTGTGCGTTTAATAAGAATTATGCACATAATATTTAAATTTACCTCCGGTTTTTTTAACTCACATAAATTGCAGGAAAAATAGTAAAAAAAATAAAGTTTCCTTACATTCCCTTTAAGCCTTGACTTTCTATTGAAACCGGTTATATTGTAAGATCGTTACAATTTTTGAAGCTCATTAATTAAATTTAATATTTTAGTATGTTATTGAACTCATGTCGAAATACCTAAGATCTAGACTTAATATTTCACAAATCTTTGTAGAAATTTAATATATTTTTTAATACTTAATTATAGCAACGATATCTAAAAATCTCAATATATAAAATAACAATAATTTCATTTTAGAATTTGCATAATATTGTGATAAAATAATTTATTACTAATAACATATGCATTGGATTGATTAGTTTGTAATCTGTTTCATAATATTAGTGAGAGTGATCGGAATTATAAAATAATTCTATTCTGACTGCGTGTATTAACCACGTAACATTCTGACTGGAATTGAAATAAAACGTATACGAAAATACTTAGAAAAACTTACTTCACAGGGAATATTGTATGCATTAAAAGTTTTAAAATAATTTATTTTATCGTTAAAATCCCATTTTTCAGTTTTCATAGTTCGTAAATTATAGGCTCAAATAAATACAAACTCTGTGAATTTTAAAACATTTTTTACAATACCCTTCACAAAGTAATCGTATTTTTTTGTATATAATTTTATGGGTTTTTTAATAGAATAATATAAGTCGAGATACAATTTTATATAATTTTTGTTACAATCTCTAACATGCAATATTACATGAAAATATTAAATTATTTCGAGAGATTTATACAAAACTTCGTAAAACTTTTGTTAAGTGTAAAACTTTGCACTAACGTTCGTTTTTTATACGAACAAAATTATTTACAAGCTGATGTTTAAGAATGGATTTGGTTCACGTTGAATCTAGATTTTCATTTCATATAATGAACTAGCTCATGCCTGTGACTTCACTCGCGTTTATATTTACTAAACTTTCGTTTTCAAGAAGACATTACTAAACAAGATATACTTACAAAAATCGTTGTTTCTTGTCCTTGCTACGAATTCATTATATTTCATGAAGACATAAAATAAATGTGACCAATTTTCTTTGAAATAATTCTTGAACAAAGCTTATAAAATCTATCTTACAGTTTTACTCGCTCAACTTCAAATATTTGTATTTATTTAAAACATTACAATTAAATTTCTTTTTAAATCATAATTTTCATGTTTCTTTATTCATAATGACATGTAAAGAACCAATACTTTTCCAAAATCATTCCCAAAGAGGGTTGATGATGTCAGGCAAGCAGCCAATCGTGAAAACAATTAGCCAAAACTATTAACAACATGTAAGCCAGACCCTGGCTAAAGCTGGGAAATTGCCAGGTAGAAGATGTAGAGAACCAATACTGTTACTACACGTTTTGCATCATCACACTATACACGGAGAGTATCTTCGCAAATTATAATATTGAATAAGAACAAGAACCGCTTCATAAGTTTTGTGATAAGACAAACTTGTGCTTATCATAAAGGTATATAATAAAATAAAATTCAAAAGTATTCTATATAATTTTAATATACTTTGGTACATTCTTTTTTATAAAAGAAGACTTACAAAAACCGTGTTTATCAAGAGCAGAAAAGTAATTAAATCCCTCCTTCCGGCTTTTTTAGTCGTGACTTCAAAGATCGGAAATAGCTTTTACATCAACCTGTTGGCCGCAACTTTGTCCGTTTGCAATTAACTTTATTACTCACTGGTTAAGGTTTATAAAATTAATTCTTTTTTATCTTCCCATAGTGATCTTCCAAATCGTTGTAGGCAATCGCTTATGACGGAAAATAAAAGATTATTCGTATATTTCCTGGTACATATAGTCGATTCATCCTTCAGTAAATGAATCCACGAGTATCCAAACTACAAACGATCAAATAACTTCATAGAGTTAATGCCAGCGTAGACATGTAGTTAGTCAGCCTGCGGGTATTTTGTTATTGTTTAGTTTGTTGTTTGTATCTATATATAATATATGTGATACCTACATATATACATATATAGAAACAAAGAACAAAGTATTACGTATATAATTATACATTTAGACGTATAAGTACGAAAATGTGGCTCATAATCGCTTCTACATAGCTTTTGTTTGTAATGGCTTTTTAACATATATTTCAAAAAAGAAAAATTCGTAAGGATCACTAAACTTAAAGTAACAAGAGGATTCCCGGAGAATCAATTTCTAACCACAAATATGAATGGTCACACTATTTTCGTACTATTTACCGTTTTTATATGTATAATAACCTACCTTAATAGAGACGAAACTTTTCAGCAGTCCACGAATGTACAGTTCGGGTCCATCGCGTTGCAGGGTACCTACTATGTATAGATTTACGAATAAAAAACTGCAACGTTCTACATGAAATGAAAACTCGTATTAAAGATATGTATCTTTAATTCCAAAGAATAACATGAACAGCGGGACAGACAGGTAGAGAGAAATAACAGCGTTTCTTTTGAGTTACATAACAGATTCTTTCCGTATCCATAAAATTTGTTTAATTTATTTAATGACCAACAGTTCCCACTGTTTTATTATAATAATAAATATTGTCGAAAACAAGATGACAAGCGACCACGGACTTTTATATACATAGGATGATAACATAATATTTTTCAACCATACATTTACGAGTTGCTTTTCGTGTCACATATAAAATTTTAGAGTATTTTTTTTTCATTTCATTGTAATATAAATATAATGAACTTTATCGATGAAATTCTCCTTTACAGTCAAAGCTTAGTTTCGTACTACTCATGTCATTTATTTAATTACTGCCACAAAACTGACAACTATATATTTTATATACGTTAAATATATATATTTTTTTAATTATTCTTTATTGCACAAAAAGAGGTGTACAAAGGGCGGACTTAACGCTATTACAGGTTATTAATATTACATATTATTAATGGTTTATGGATATACTTTAATAAAGTTATGTGTAAGTTATATGAATTTTTTATTTAACTCGCATATTGGAGATTAAATTCATAGGTACTTATACAGGGTGACTGGTGAATTACTATCGATACTTGAGGACGTGATATTTGACGATCATATATGACAAAATAAAAATTAATATAGGTAACATAAATATTAATAAACTTCTAAGTAAAGTTAATCAAAAGTTATGTAATTAATTACGCATCGTGTGAACACCCTACAGATTAGGTATACACACACACTCACACATACGTTTGAGGGGGCGTGGTGTTGTATCAGCACGCCGCCGCACGCGTCCACACTTGGAACACTTGGAACGTGTCAACACTTTATTTATTTATACGGAAATTTTGTCAAAGATTAAGTACCTATTTTTTTTTACATAATTCGAATGAGAATCATGTACCGAGTATTCTCCTTAAATATTGATAGTAATTCACCAGTCACCCTGTATATCAAAGAAAAAAAGGGAAATATAATTTTAAGAACAGTTAATTTACAACTTTAATCTAATGGTAGGTATATAAATACCAGATGAAATACGTTTATATAAGACGAAGAAAACTATTATTTTTTACTTAGTAATGTACATATAATACTATTGAAGAATTTAGTTTTAATACATAATATTTTGGCAGCTACTTTATTGCTTTAACGATTCCTACTTCATATCATAGTAATGACAGAATCAAAAATGTTGCTATATGTATTAATTAAATATATCAAAATACAATAAAATAAATAATAATGATATATTTTTTATTACCTACTACTTACACTTTTTCTTAGTAAATATTATTAAATATCTGCATCAAAGAAAACTTTTAATGATTTCTAGACCTTCTCTATTCTATACTATGTATAATACTTACTGTGTTGTATTCTTGTAGTTATGTGATGGATAGTCGTGACAGGACATAGTAGTTAGGCCAATTATCTCCAATTATATGAATAATGTCAATGCTCTATTACTTTCTAAGCTTCAATTAACTCTTTCATATACCTATTATAGCTTTTTTAAGTAATAAAATTTATTAATCTTATATATTATTACGATACAGAACGGGACAAGGGATTCATTCAAATAAAACCATATAAATTTATTTCGACGTACTTTTTAAATTTCTGCATTAATATATAATCTCCTAATCATTTATTTATTTAGCTTACAATTCTTAATTTTGGAATGGTATTATTTATATTGTTAGCTTAAAAAATAAATAAAAACATAATAATGACAGCCTGATACAAAACACATGCGATATCAGGTCAACTAAGATACAAAGAGTTTAATTCAATGAGACTCTTTGGTTTTATATCCTTTAATATATATTATATAGTTAAACTAAATTAATTAATACAGCGATACACAGATGAACGCTTCTAAAGCAACATAACAGTCCGGTATCAAAACGACTGGCTTCACTTATTAACTACGATAATATATTTTTTTCAATGTTATTTGTACATAAAAAATAATAAAAAAACAATTCCAACAACCGTAAACTATAATTAAGTTATAAATGTAATAAACACGAAACAATACGAATACATTCATATAACTTAATATTACTAAATAAATGAAGGCATATTATTGCGATTAATCAATTCACTTAGTACGTAGGTTGAAACAAAACGTTGTATCAATAAATGAATAAATGAGATGAGAAGAGATAAGAGGAGATACAGAGATAATAAGAGATTGTGAAAGATAAATAAATAAGTTACGTTACACGACAGATGTAAAGATTAGATATTATTGATACAACGAACAGGTACGATGGGTTTCATCAAAATGTAGCCGACAGTAATATATAATTTGAGGCCAGATTTTGAAAGCAGCTTATAGTACGAGTATAGAATAAAAACTCATTCGATTCGACGTCGCTTCACTCATACCTAAGTCGTGAACATTAAGCTTACCACCAGTGTACAGTCAAACTACCCACACGATAGTATCAACAAGTTTTATATATGAAAAACTAGTAGCGCCATCTATGCAGTCCGACGATAAACTTGTGGTAAGCTCACAACGCGAATCGAACAGCATATATCAATAATTTATAACTATAAAATATCTAGTACATGTAATATAATATTGGCGAACTAAAACATATCGATATCACCACAAGCTAATTCCGTTCAGGAAGAGCGAACACGTGTACACTAAAAACTACGTAAAATTATTATAAGCTCATAAATAATCGGTAAAAAATAATATCATGTTACATAAATATGGTCATAGTATATATGTATTGATAAACGAAATGCGTGTCTCATACAGCGTGTCACATACAACACGATCAAGTCTGTCACGGTCCCGTACCACATGAATTATAATAATTCCGGCAAGATTGTTTCATTCCATACTTCCCTATTTTGGGGTAAAAATCTCATCATTTTGGGGTAAAAGTGTCCCCATTTTGGGGTAAAAAATTCCTCATGTTGGGGTAAGTTTAGAATCAATACTGACGATCGTCGTATATATAGATGGCCTCACCGGCGGATTCTTTAAGTGGGGGAGGTTGTGGGGGGAAGTCCAGGTCCCCGGGTCTGAATAGTTTGGAGGCGTTGGGGGCGGGGGAGGCGGGCGCGGGGGAACTGCCGGGGGAACCACCGCCGCGACGCTTCACACCGCTAGGGGAAGCCCCCGCGCGGAACGAAGATCTCCGAGCTAGTCTGGTGAGAAAATTATTTATAAATTAATCCTAATATCCTGATTTATTAGGTTCAATGATATTACTAAATAGTTTCAGTTCAGTGTGTCAATACAAAATATTTTTGATTGAATGAATTGAATCATTTTACCCTTTTATATTTATAATCTTTATACATATCTCTTGTTATTATTTTATAATAATGTTCTAAAGTGACAAAGATTTATAAAGAATTTAATGACGAGTAACAACACTAATTCATTCATATACGAAAACAAGGAACCAAAACATTCTTAACAGAATATAATCGTTCGAAAAACCTTTTGAAGTGTCAACCCAATTGCATGAGACGTGATAAACGAAGCAATTCATGACTAATAGACTGTAACGTACATTTAACTGAATGAATGTTTTACAAACGAACCTCGAGGCCATTTCCTCTGGAGTTTCTTCTATTTCCAGCACCCAGCTGACCGAGTCGTGTTTCTCTACGACCCCCTTGACTGCGGGGAGCGGCGGCGAGTCGGGGGCGGGGGAGGACGCGGGGGAGGGGGGTGTCTCCGGGCCGGGGGACGCGGAGCGGCCGGAGTCGCCGGACGACGTGCGCGTGCGCATCGGAGTACGCTCTATGTAGCCACCACCGGCTAACAGCGACACCACCTGGTGATGAATATATAAAGATTAGTTTATTATACATAATAAGTGTTTTGTATCATCAGTCTATAGCCCACTGCTGAGCAAAGACCTCTTTCTTACATGGAGAAGGTTTGAGCATTCATCACCACGCTTTCTCAAGACATTTAAAATAATAAGTGCAGATTTCCTCGCGATGTTTTCCTACTGTTTGTCAGTGGTGTCTATATATTCTTACTTTACATATGACTTGGAAATATCACATTGGTACATTGGTTTCGAACCCGTTGCCTCATGCACGATAATTAGGCCTTTAACCACTAGGCCACCACCACCACGACTAATATATGATATCAATGTACTAACCTGCGACTTCTGCCTCAGCTTGTATCTCAGTTCCTCGTTGAGGGCAGCCAGTCTGTTAGCTCGTTCCCTGTCCCTGGCAGCTATCTCCCCCAGCCTCCTATTTTCATCTCTTAACCTGTCTGCCTCTCTCTGCCTCGCGGCAGCTCTCTCTCTAAGTTCCTCAGCCGCGTGTATAGCCGAGCAAGCCTCCCTCTCGGCTGCAATCCTCCGCTGCCTTTCAGCTGGCAGCTCGGATCTCGCGTCACGTAATGATGATAACTCAGCGTTCTTCAATTCTATCACCGCCCGCAATGATAGTACCTGGAATTAAACGATATGATATTTACTTTCTTCTGTGTAACATAAGTGTTACTTTGTAATGTAACGTGAATAAAAATTATGACTATATACACAATAGCTTATATGGTAAAACAACTGGAACGTTTATGCCATGTGTCACTGGTTCGAGTCTTGTTTGCTTCGATCATTTTTTTCTTTTTAAAATTGGCTTGTGAATTTCAATTAATATTAACTCGTGGTTGATTTAAAGTCCTACGCGTCTTATTAATAATGAAACATCTCATTCATGACCAAACCGACCTCAGCAGCCAGTTCCGTGGCGTCCGAGCTAAGTTCCTCTTTGGACCTCAGTCCCATGTCGTATTCCTCGAGCTCGCTGTACACCGGGTCGCAGGCCGCGTCGCGCGTGTTGTACAACTTGTTGGCGGACTTGTCGCGCGACGAGTCGTTCGGCTTGTTGGACGACTTGTCCGAGCGTGATTTAGCACGCTCCACCTCAGACCGCGCCGCTTCCAATTGTGCACGGAGAGTTCGCTCGATCTCACTGTGTGAATGCAGCCGAGCTCTACTCTCGGCTACTTCTTGTTTAAGCGTATCTATTGTATCCTGTAATAGAAGAAAATATTATTTATATAATGAACCGATTTGATTATAATTTTTTTGAATATTGAGTATAATACCTTTAACCCCTTAACATCTTTCGCTAACGCCGACACTTCTTCAAAATGAGCAGCCTGTAGTCGCGAGTTAGCTTCTTCCTTTGACGATACTTCCATCTCGAGCTCTGAGATCTTGCTCAAGCATTCTGCGACTGATAACATAGCAATAGTACATTTCAAATGAGCTGAAAACTCAAAGTTATACACGATTCTGATTGCGGCACGATTACCAATTACCGCTTATCAACGAATTGCGTAAAAATTAATATTTTTTTGCATATAATCGTATTTATTACGAAAATATGGTGTTGGCTAATGATTGTCTGTGTAATGAATCGAAAGACTAGTATTGTTTTGTTATTGAGATATATTTAAATAGCGTGTGTTCACCAAATATTGCAATAAAAGATATGGATTACTATTGTTAATAATATGCAATTATGATCAATAGGAACTATAACTAGTACTTAATTGACCTGGATGAATTATGCCCGAATTTCTAGAGAAGGTCCAAAATAAACCAAACACTCACTCCGCTATTGATTTCAAATCCACTAAAACCTACCGTTGTAGTCAAGTCGGAAAGTTACACTTAATTGATAAAGACAATCTGACTAGTTGAATTATACCATGAGTATAACATGAAATAGAAACCAAAAAAAAAATTGTCAATCTTTTTTCTTTCTTTCAAATACTTCTTGCTAGCAAGAAAGGCCATAAATCATCGTATGTTTTTGGCAATTCTAAGTACCATTTAATAGAAATCTGGAGTGTAAATCACCAGTGTCGTAACTAGGACGGTACCAGCAGTGCCTAGGCACAGGGCGGAATCCCTGGAGGGGCGCAGAAATGACCAGACTAGTATCTACTTTTATCTCATTCATGGTAGTTATGTACTTATATACTTTGTTATTTTAGTAAACAATAAATGGATAGATTTATTTGTATGCACATTTGTCCATTTTATTTACAGAGCCTCGTTAGAGCATTTTTCAGGGGCGCAGTTTTGTGCATAAAAGGCTAGTTACGGCACTGTAAGTCACATATAATATTTTGTTGTACATACTGGTGTCTAGATCCTTCTGTGCTCGCTGCTGTCTGTCTCTGTCTGCCCTGGCCGCAGCGCTGCGCTCTGCTGCCGCCATGGACCGCCATCTCTCTGCCTCTTGCTGCCATGACCCACTGTTCAGAGCATCCAACTGGAATAAGGAAAAATACTTTAATATAACGTACATATTTAATTAAAGATCATCTCAATGAGTTAGTTAGATGGGAAATCTATATAAATAAAAGAGATTTTCACCTATATATTGACTCATCACGATATCTCTGGTACCATAAGGCATAGCGACTTGAAATTTGGTAGGATTATTCCTTTTGCAGAGTAGAATTCCACTCACAAGGGGGTTTGCGAGGGGTAAACAATGAAAAATACGCTTTCACGCATACACCACTAAACTGATTTTAATGAAATTTGGTACAGAGATGGAGTTGAACTTGAGAAAGAACATGGGATAGTTTTCATTCCATACTTTTGAAAAGTTCTCCTGGAAACGCGATATAACCGGACTCCACGCGTGCGAAGCTGCGGGCGGAAAGCTAGTAGCTTAATAAAACTTTTTGGTTTTCGATAGCAATACATATTCCATAATTTTTAATGTTATTGGTGGGTTGAAATCATATGATTTTATTTCGTAGTGTTACATATTCTATGTCTATCAGAAACTTTATTAGGAAGCGGTTAATACCCAAATATAGCATCAAAGGCAGGCCACAAAAACTATAATACTGATTCATAAAAATTAAAACATAAATTTACTAAAGTATATAATTTAAATAGAAATAATGTTTATTTATTTACAATTTTTGAATTGTTTTAATGTGAACTTACCCTAAAAACCAAATATTGCACAAGTACACCCAACGCTTCAACGCCTTTAGCAGCGTGTGCTAATGCGGCGGTTTGTTCCCGCGGTTGAGGTGGTGTCGCAGCGGTAAGCGGAGCGGGTAACGGGGCGGGTAGCGGAGCGGGCGGCGAGCGTACGGGCTGCGGTGTCTGCACTCGCTTGCCTCGCGGCCCAACCGCAGCCGTCACTCGCGGCGGCTCTGCAATGTAAACACAACATTAAAACCCCATAAAGACAATAAAATAATTCAAACAGATCTTTGAAGCCGTTTTCCTGCAAATGATAATAAACATTTTCTGTACCGTCTACACCGCAGCTTATAAAACAACGCTTTACGTCAATGTGTGTTCATAAATCATTGAGCAGCATTGAAAGCTCTCGTCGTTCGCGCCTTCATATTTGCTTTATTAATTACAAAGTATGGAGATGGATTTAAAAAACTAGAACGCTTCCCGGGTCTGTTCTCGAATTGCACAACATAATTCTCACGATACAAAGTAACAATGAGACTTCTGATCTTACAATGGGATACAATACAGCAAACAAATATGTGTTTCTCACTGTCGATTTTATCAGATTCAGAAATAGCTTTGTTTAGTTGAATCTTCATACAAATGACTGCTATCAGGGACATTTATCTACCCCGCATTTAATGGGGGCTATGTTGCAGGATGTTATGTTATTTTTTATGATGACAACTAATTAATAATTCTGCAGTTATTAGAGGAGACGAATGTTATATCTTAGTTCATGAATCAGAAACAACTGCCGGTATTTTGATAGTACTTCTACAGTCTTCTGGCATATATTCCATAGTACCATCTCTCATTGCGTCCTATGCTAAGTAAATTCTTTAATATAGGACTTCTAAAGCAGTAATTCAACTGTTGTTAAACAGTATACCGAAAAGGGCGGCCCTAGCTATATACGTCACAGAGAAATCGTGAACATATACGAATATTAATCAACTTACTTTCAAATGTGGTAGTTGTAGGTATATGAAGTATGTTCAGTCCTATACTATACATGGATTAACGAGATGTTGCATACCATTTCTTTGGGACAACATTACCAACACTTTCCTTCTTTGCAAGGGAAATCATTATAAATCTTGTATACTTCCCGCTAGTTTTATCGCAGTTCCTAGATCAGACGTAGCATAATCACTATTATATATCGTCAAATTTATACCTACCTACAGAAAACGTTGACAATATTAAGCATTTTGTTTTAAATAAATAAAATTCTAAAGTATTAGAAAATATTTACACAATAGATTATATATCACCAAAGAGTTGTTGAAACAATTTTCACTTCTTCGGATCTTATATTGTAAACTTTTAAATAAATATCGAACAACAAATATCATATTAAGCGCAATGGATACACAATTATTATTCGAAATCATTCAAGACAGAGAGTATCGAAATAGGATTTCCATTTTAGTGTTCATTTGAAATAGAATACCATAGAATCAATTTGTATTCGGAATGACAATAATGAGAGTGTTTTAAAAACTTGTATCCCCATAATTCCCACGGTCCATTGACTGTTCCTGTTCATGCGTCATTAACCGCTAGATCCGAAGCCCACTTCCGCTACCATAATAAAAAAAATAACAATCTTTTATAATCTGTATACAAAAACTCTATGACCATCTTCTGTTTTTTTTATCTGTGGAATATATGTAGTATGATCTCATATTATTGTTGATACGCGGTAGAGCGTAATAAAAATAATTTAAACTGTCATAACCGAAATTAGTTCTGAATATGTATTTATTAACAATTTGAATTTTCAAAGATAATTATTTTCGTTCATTAACCTGTATTGTAGAAAATTTAATTCAGTTAATTATAGATGTTTTGTAATATGTCACCTTTTTTGTAGTTATGATAGTAATTAATTGCGTGAAATCCAAAAATCATATGAATAATAATTCAATTTGACGTCTCAATAATTTGGAGTGGCCGCAGCGGGTCAGCCGGCGCGCGTCGCGTGGGCATCAATTTAGACAAGTGAAACGACGAATTAACAAACAGTCAGGGATGCCATTACTATACAGAGGACAATACCTATTCATGTGGCTACTTTGTACATCGGTTACATTTCGAAGAAAACACATGATAGAAGATAACGAACAATTGTTTTAATATAAATATGGTAAAAATGAATTTTATTTCATACTAATATAATAAAACAGACTTTATAATATGAAAATTACAATACATCAAGAAGATAGAGTTACAAAAAAACGAGTTGTTTAAATTTTACTGAAAGTCACTGTAATACGGTCTAAAACTTGGATGGATGGACAAAATTAAACTTAACTAAGCTAAACTGAAATGGACTTTATAAGTGAAGATCAGAGTTGAGAATTACGATACATTATTTATATTACACTATTACACGGTACACCTTCATAACTAAAGACTTGTATTTCTGGACAAAAAGCTATTTCGCAATATTCACTAAGATACTGTCATTGAATTATCAAATAAGCTTTTTATTATTTTGTATATTTAATAACTAGATACGGATGATTTAACTTTTCTGAAAGTAAACATAAAACAAAACATCTTATTTATTGTGAAATGTTTTTTAATGTATAATGCGAAGTATGTATTTTACCAGTCAGAGACATAACTCGCTGATTAGTAGGTATCCATTTGTATTTATGCTCATCATAACTGCCGGTATGCGACCTTCTTTAGTAATTACCAATATTACGGAATAAGGTCACTGGTAAGACTATTCTTATTTCATGTAATGTGACCATAATTTCCAAAAATATTTACTCATAAAGAATAAAAAGGTCTATTTCTCTTTTTTTTATATATTTCAAGTAAGTTATGCGGTAACCCTAATTTTTTAAGCCAACCTAACACACGCCCACGCAAGTCTCTCAACACGTCCACATTATACCTCATATTGTAATATATAGCAATCTTTTTCACCTGACCTTTTGATTTCATAACGATAGCTTTTATTAATGTAAGACAATCATAATATTTCCATACAAAAAACTAATAAATTTTAAAGGACAACAAATTGCCAGTCGTGTGAAAATGCAGAACTTTCTCTTGGCTTCTATTGAACACATTATTTTGTAATAAAATAAATTTGAAGACTTAAAATACACACGTGAAAATATCACTAAATAAATATTCTAGAATTATTTCAATCTTTTTATGTGTATGTACCAATGTTTCATCTTTCATACCTTTTTACATTTAAACAGAATACATTTTATAATCTTTATTAAAAGTTATCGCAGATTTCTGTTTATTAAACTTGATCTCTCTTTTTATGAGATTGAAATGAATCATTAATTTATAGCTATGTTATTTTTTCATATTCGTCGAAAGTATACGTAACTCAATTAAAATTAATCTTAGCTCTAAATTATCGAACTGGTTTTGAAAGTGTCAAATAAAAAACGTTAGGTAAGATATAGAAAATTATAATTACAAATAACCACACTTGCATTTTAAATGAGAAATACGATGTACCTACTATCGTGAAAAGGAATAATTTTAACTCTATGAAGCGAAAAACACTCAATAAGTATTTATGAATTACGTAACACGAATTACGTATACACAAAAAAAGGTTTAATATTTAATAAATTTATAATAATTGATTGATTTAGAAAACTAAAATTTCAGAACGTTCATATTATATAATTAGATATATTACTTTCATTTAAACTTTCAAAAATACATATTACCATAACAAATCGAACATTTTAAATAAGATAGAACTAAATGAAGTATTATTGATACATGGTGAATACAGTAGTAGAATCAGTAGTACAATGATTTGTACTACTATACTACTCTTAAGTAGGGTATGGGTTTAACGGCATGTGATATGCGATGAGAATATATAAACAATCAACTCATTACCACCTGGAGACTACGTGGTATGTAGTTTTCCTTATTAAATACACACGTATTGTTTCATACAAGAACTACTTCTTGTATTTAAAAGGTTATTTGTAGGAACACTCTATGCCCTTGTCATGTTGGCAGCAATGTCATTCTATCTAAAATAAATAGTATTATAAAGTTGGCAAAATTGCGTATACAAAAATTTACAAAGTTCATTGACTCCCATGACGTGTTGGTCTTGGTTAAACATAATTACGTCGTTAAAAATTAATGCCACCGAGCTCTTATTGTCATTGAAATAAGCATAAAATGTATAAACAATTTGATGTAACAAAAAAATAATTTAGAATATTACCTAAATTACTACAACAGAATATATTAATGCTGATATATGTTTCAGATAGTAGATATACAGTTTATAACATTATAGAGAAACGTTTAAAAATATAGTTAGTACGCCTACCACAAGTTTTTGCCGTGACACTACATACCAATCGTTTCCCGTTTCCCATTCAATAACTTACGTTAATACTTTTATGAGCGAAGATGAAGCATAATCATTATCTAATATGAAGCTTTCAAGAATGAAATAACATTTTAATTATCCATAAATATTTGTAATGAAAATGTCTATTAATTACGTAATACTATATGAAATTCCCTTTATATATATATTAGACATTACGTGTAGGTTATAGAAAATTCCACAATTCCGTTACTTACGTACATTTCCTATGGAAATTGGCTGCCATTTTATTATTAATATCACTCTAAAATTATTTCGGAAGTCCGTGCAGACGAAGTCGTGGGCATTAACATATATCGTAATAGGAAATATTATTCTTTTATTTAGTTATCCGCCAGTTCTATTAATTGAGAATGCAATATACAAATACGCGAAGATAGTCACTAATTCAAGTACAGGTAGCATACATAACTTTTTTCTCGCATAAATAAAATGAATTGTCATTCTAAATACTCCAATAACCATCACGTACCAGCTCTATAAATACTATAATCCATTCTCCGTCTAGCGTGTAGTGAACACATCTAAAATTAGTGAGTCTGTATGTATGTCAGGGGGCCGAGTCCCGCCGGCCCTAAAAGGGTCAACACTGGACAACTGTCAATGTACACAAAACATCAATCAAGTTAGAAAATCATTCCATATTATAGATTGATCAATACTTTCAATGTAAAAAGATATATCGTTTATTTCTTCTGATGATAATCGTTCGTACTGTTGAACAGCACCTTGGTCTTTCATTAAAACCTTTTAGCATCATGACTCATCAGCAGTTAAAGTCACTAATAAAGCTGTCATCTGCGGACGACCACAAAAGCATATTATCCCAGTTTCTCGGAATTCAAACGAATATAAATATTCACGATTGTGTACAAGATCGATTGTTAAAACGAGCAAAAATCGATTTTATATTTATTTTTATATTAACATAGAATCGAAATATTTTAATGAAAACGCGATGTAAATAAAATAAACCGTTAAAAAGCTTCGATCATTTTTTAACGAGCGCGGTATCGATTTCCTGTGCATGTTAACAAATTAACGTCGATAAGCGGACATATAAAAAGTTATTTTACAGTTAATCTACAATAAATATAAAATGTAATAAATATTTATATTATAAGAGAAAAAAAAACAGTAAAAAATATTAGAGATTTGACATTTATATGAAACTAAAGGCAAATGTCACTCCATTGGCATAAGTTGACAGCCACCTGAGCTGGTGGTACGCTTTAGTTATGATGAATAAGCGTTTAATTCCGTTTATCCCGAAGACAAACAACTGTAAAGGGCTAAAACTGAATCACTCGTCTTTGAACCAGCCGCTATATATTATATTACAGAAGCACCGGTAATTGGCTGAATTTAATTGTACGTTTTGTCACAGAATGATATCATGATATTAAATGTGTAAAATGTAAACAAGACTTCACGATGGCTCTTCTGTAATCTGTATCACAACAATTTTATTATTCATGGAAATACTGTAGTCGAAGAAGTTGCAGAACCAAATCGTTTTATAATTGTGATATGATGGATGCATGATAAAAAATGTCATAAAGATTTTAATCTCGTGCGAATCTCTTTGTTTTTTATATGTGAGTTAATTTTAGAATCAAATTTATTTGTATTTATATGTTATAATTGTGTTTTTAGAAATATATTTGAAGAGCAAATGTCATTAGTGAGAACTGAACTTATAAGTTAGGAAGAAACGGGAAAGTAAACCTGTTTTCAGCATTTAGAATTAAAAAGGAAAAGCTGAGAATGCTGGTAAATAATAAAAATATCGTAAAAATTTCTTGTATATAATAAGCGAAGTCCAAAAACGATGAAGATATTGTTCAAAGTTATTTCATAAAGTGACCCTTATAAAAACGGTGTTGTGTGAAAATTGAAGGGGTAGTTATAAACTTGACTTTTTCTTAGCAACATTCAACCGAATGACCTCGATAAAGAACGGACATACATTCTGCTTGGCATGTGTCCAATATACTAGTAAAATTGTTAGACAAACGGCCAAACTTATTTTAAATATCAGCTAGTGCCAAGCCCTTGCGAATCGCCCTTTAACGAACGATTAAATATTGATAAAGCTTTAACACTTGAAGTATTGCCTTATATAGATAATGAGTATATTTAAAAAACTTAAACTTAAATTAAAATTAAATGCAATATTTTTCTAG